CCACATCTTGGTGAAGAAATTAAGACTGTTTCTCTTCGTTCTGGACCATTTTCGAGAAATGGGGCAGGTCAATTGAAGAGGTGAGGGGAGACAGATAAGGACAGCTGGTATAAGGGTTGAACTAGCAATTGGGTATTACTTCAGTTATGTCTATGTTGTGACTATTTCTCGTGGTGACTATAATTATATTTGTATAAGATGTCTTTGTTCGATAGGTGTGCATTGCACTTCCGGTTTTACCGCATTACCATGACTTGTAATTATTAGCAGAAACTTAATGGTTATAATTATAACCATAATTTTTAAAAGGGTGGACCGATAAGCCATCGGACGACCTCGCTCAGATGACCAAAAGCTCCAGCTGCGGGTCATCATATGATTAAGACCCGCGCCAGGACACACTTGTTCTGTTACCTGACAAACCTAACCTAACCTTGACTGGTGAGCGGAAGTGACATTTTCAGTTTATAATCGTGAGACTATTTACCTACAACAGTTCTAGAGGCGAAGGCAAACGCTTCTTTACATTGTTATTGTCTGCGAGACCTTCTGCAGTTCAGAATGTGAATCTTTTGTATCTGTGTCAGTCTTCTATGCACACATTATTCTGTATGACAGCCTAATATGTTGAAATTTTGTTCTTAATCTTTCTATTTAGTTCCCATCTAATATCAGCATTGCAGTTATATCCCTCACCTTACCACTTAGTGGTGACGCATATCACACCCAGAAGAACCCGGCTTGGATCCAGGGAGAGGCCAGACGCATAAGTCAGTCTCCTAACACCTGCTACCTATCAATATATGGATATCTAGGGAACTGTTATGGGTCGTATCCTGAGGAAGAACCTTTTAGAAAATCCCAGAGGGAATAAGCCACACTGCTTTTGTGACAGCTCCAGTAACCTTCCTGTCCTAATCTGAATGAAGTCTTCTTCCTTCAATCTTTCTCCCGTTTTCACTAAGTTTCGGATAAATTCATGCGTCTTCCCTGCTTCCCTCAGAAAACGGGCCCCACCGGGGGGCGGCTCTCCCCGGTTGGGGGGAGCCATTTGAGGTGGTGGGACCCGCGGGGGCGGGTGACCCCTCGGTGGCTGGACCTCTCCCCACGGACGCCAAACCGGAACTAGAGAATATAAACTTTATTTTGTAAACAGGGGCCCTGGGGGGCTGACCGCAAGGGGGGCAGACCGGGGGGTGTGTGGGAAGGTCCCCTCCTCTGCCCAGGTTAATGGTTGGTCTTTTGGGTTTAAAAGCCTCGACACCGAGGGTTTAAACTGCATTCACCGACACCCCGGTTTTCATACTTTTAAACCCTAAAATAAAGGGTTAAAGTAAGGATGAAGATACACGCCCCTCTACCGACATTTTCAAAGTTAACACCCAGATATAACCCTTTTAATTTATACGTCGACATATACATTTTTTTATTAACTTCGCTTGGAAATGCAGGGGGGAAGAAAATTCTTAAAAATTTTCCTCCTCTTTCCTTGGCATCTCCTTCCCTGCCTCTCCCTCGCCTTCCCCTGTTTCCCTCCCTCCCTCCCTCCTCTTCTATATAGTACAGCAGGTGTACCAGGGGGTGCGGGGAATCCCACTCCCCAACCCTGAATATTAACCCTTTAGGGTACGAGGGTGGCAGTAGGGAACTAAGGTTTTGTTGGTGTAGTTCTCTCTCTCTCTCTCTCCTTCACCTCTAGATTTCCCTAACACCCTCTTCCTCTTTCTCCCTTTTACTTGTTCTCATTACCGTCTTCTCTCCCCCACCTTATTCTCCTCTTCCTTTCTCCCCCCCCCATCTCCTCCCACATCTCCACACTCAGCCTCAACTCTTCCCTCCTTATCCCCCCCTTCACTTTCTCTCCTTCCCTCTTTTTTCTCCCTTTCCCCTTGCATCACCCACCCTCTCCCAACCGTGTTCTTCCTTTTCTCACATCACGTGAGGAACTTCATTTTTTTACGGGGTGGACGGTAAACCTTTGGACCTGGTTTACCTGTCAATTACCTAAAAGTAAAGTTAGTGATCTCAATGAGCAGGACAAATGTCGGCCACAACATTTTTATTTCCTGTGTTTTAAACCACTATCAACTGCGGGTCGCCCATATGACTTAATCCCTCATCGGGAAACGTGTCCCGTTTCTGATAAACCTTACCAAATCTAACCATCAGAAGAATCACGAAATCGAATGACACATTGAAAACAAGCCAACACGGACGTGGAGAGAACCCCGTCAGTCACACACTCCAACCGTCGCGTTGCCATGGCCAGCTACCACAATGAGATTCATCAAAAGGGGACGGGCATAACCCCAGGTTGGGCACAGAGGAGACAAGGGGGAAAAGACATATAAGAGACTAGGACGGGGGGAACATAAATGGAAGTTAATAACAAAATGGTTACCTACCTGCCTGGAGTCGTTCCGGGGTCAACCCCCCCGCGTTTCCAGCCTTGACAAGGCCCCCACACACAGCGGAGGAATAATGACGAAAGACTGAATTAGATAATCATAGGGCAAATACACTAAAAGGTTTGGGGGAATGCAACTCGGTCTGGTACAACTCAGAAATCAGAGTAAATCAATACAAAAGTCAAAACCCTGCAGTCTGGCTCTAACTACATAACACACCACACCACACACACCCCACACACCACACCACACACACACACACACCCCACACACCAAAAAACCACACACACACACAAAAATGTATATAATATACGCTTATTTCTAGTAAAAAAAAAACAGAAAATTCATATCTAGCCTTTCTTTACAAGTCATTCCTGACTGATTTTTGATAGTGAACCTCGACGAAAATGTTTATGTTAATTTAAATTTTACAGCAACTGTTTGCTATGTTGTTCCCGATTGACTGATAACATGAATGCCTTCACATAACCGCCTACACAGCAAACAATCCAATGTTCGTTTGATTCACTGAACGGTTCCTCAGAAGCTAGCAGGGAACGCCACCTACACCCCCCAGGGGGTACAGTGAACTTTACCTCCACTAATTACCTTATACAATGAAACACCAACCTGACCACTCAGCGTGACGGCATCATACAGGACCCCCTCATAAGAGAACGCACCGACCACAGTAAACGTTTTTCGTGTCCGCCTCAGAGTGAACGCCTAAGTACGACCAAGTTTGGTAAGCCGCACTGCCCCGAACCCTGGCTCCTGGACACTGAAAAAGCGACCGCCTGTTGAGCAAGAACCACCCCCACCATTTGATACGCGAACACCTTTTTAAAGCAGCCAGAGATACATCAAAAGATTAAAACTGGCAAAAGGCCCCGGGTAACCACCCTCCAAGAACGGAGATGAAAAGAAAATTTAAAACACTATACGACCAAGACGCGAACTCTTTTACAGCGACCATCCACGGTGTAAGGAATAAACTCTTCAGGGCTCTTAAAAACTCTCCACAACACACACACACACACACACACACACACACACACACACAACAACACACACACACACAGCGGTTTAAACCCAAAATTACTTAGAATTCTGTAAAACCCACGAACGACATTTAGAAAGAAGTAAAAGAGCTTAGCCTCTCACCCCCACTCTCCTCTCCCTCTCATCCGCACTCCCTCCCCAAACCCTCCAACACTCTCCTCTCCACCCTCCCGTCACCTCCAACACACTCCATCCCTCCCCCCCCGCAACACCACCACCACCACCTCCTCCGCCACTCCCCCATCCTCCATCACCCTCCATTCTCCCCTTCCCCTCTCCCCTCTCTCATCACCTACCTCCCCTCTCCTCCCTCTGAACACGCGGTTCGAGGTAGCGAGGTCGGGAGGTATTGATTTTAGCAGTGATCTACTTGCGGGCAGTTATCAGCTTGTTAGAGCGTCCCAGTCTTGCTAATACTCACCTCACATACCCACGCACCCAGTTTAAAAAAAAGGTCATCTCTAAATGATAGATAAGGTGTTATTTTCCCCATTACCTATTCTAATTCTGGATATCAAGAGTTGGTGGCTAGTTTAAAACCCTCACTCAATTCTGTGTCACATTGAGTGATATGGGGGTTGCTGCTTATTTTCTCTGAGGAATATTGGGTTTAATATTTTTCTTCCCGACTATTATGGCGAAGAAGTATTTTTTCCATTTTTTTTAAAGGCAGAAAACGTCAATCACTAGACATTGGTCGGCCATTTACCCAGAGCGATGTCAAGACGCGAGTTTTGTAAATTTGTCTAATTCATTCCTGGAAGTTTGTGTTATTATTTTATATATTTTGAAATGCTGCCTTTATTTACTGTTTTTATTGAAAAGTTAGATCAGCGTATTAATATTAGTAAGGATTGTTACAGCGGGCAAATAAGACAACTTTGGCGAGATGTGGCAGCAACATTCTGACTGTCTCGTTTAATTTGTAAGTTTTGCAAACTTTACTCCCGCATGTTGAAGTTATGATAACCTTGTCTGGGTAGTGTGTGTGTGTACCTGCAACACTCATATTATACCTAATATTAGTATCTTTATCATGAGGGGCAGGTGTGAATGTGAGCGAGGCTCCTGAGAGCGTATCCTCAGTCTTTGACATCAAGGGCTGGCTGGCCTTGACACGTGAACTCCCAAGTGTGATCTTGTTTCATAGCCACACCATCGTGGATAACTCCGGAAGCCTCCTCTCCCGTGATCTTGCGAGCCCTGAAACACTGTCCTGCAACAGGCAAAGTCGGCTTGTTTGTATGTTGTGTTTGGCCGATATAATAAAATCATGCAATCTTCACACGTGAGAGATGCCAGTTGACGCTAGATGCTCATGTTGTTGCCAGTTTTGACGCGCGCGCGTACTTTCTTTTGGGAATTGCTTCAGCGGAGATTTTGCTTAAGAAAATCAATCTTCAGAATCAGGAAATATGGGCGGAAATAAATGTATTATAACTTGAAGAAAAATCATAAACTCCGCCCATCGTACAGTCGGCAGCTGATTGGCTGAGCGAGCACAGCCGAGGCTATATAAGTCCGAGCACCGTTCGCGCGGTAGGTAGACCGATATATGAGTGCGGGAAGAGTACGTCGCTGCTATCTCAGGTTTTAGGACTTGAGAACTGTACTTAGTGCTTTAATAGACTTAACCAATTTAGTGATCAAAATGTTGCCACAAAGCGTAACAGATCGTTCCACATCGCCCACCACAACTCAGGGAGTAATATTTGGATCTCAGCTTGTCCAAGCAAACTCCAGAACTCCATACAGCGATGCTACTCAGGTGAGTTTGATTCAATCGCCTGTATTACTGTAATTCTGCCCTGTGTCGATGATTTTGTATTACCTGGTTGTCTTTGTCATGTGCATGAACTCGCCCACGGATATGATGCGTTTTAGTGACGAATTGACGTTTAAGTTTAGTGTTAGTGAGTGATATAGAAACTAACTCAGCGCGCGAGATACAAGTCTTAAAATTTTACAAAGTGCTTAAAAGTTTATTTTTTTTTAAGTTTTGGTTGTTAATGACAGTGTTGTGTTCTAGAAGATTACAAGTGCATGTGTCATGGACTGTTAACGAAGTGCAGTGTTCTTAATGGAATGATCAAGTTTTATTTTTCTGATTCCACCCCAATCACGGGACTTAGACAAAATGCATGTGACAAGGCATCTATCTCCGTGGAACGTGTGTGCCCCCGGATAACAAAGTCACGGAAACCCCCCGTAACCACGAAGTGAATGATGTAAAGTGAACGCACAGCATAAAGTGGCTATAACAAGTTTTTTTTTTTAAACATATGGAGTTTGTGTGGTGTTGGTGCTTTTATAATGTTTTAGCACTGTGATCGCAGCCTCAACACGCGATGATCTATCCCAGGTATTTATTGTTAATATTTATTTTTTTTTTCATGTTTCATGTTTCTTAAGTGACCTCGATGGTGTGGACTGTTAAGTTATCCCGAGTGGTGAGTGAGTGAGATCCAATGCCTGCCTCAACCCCAAGTGTATTGTGAAATGTTTGATGGGAAAGCGGTGATAAAAGTCAACTAGTCAATGTTTACTCAGGTGAATTAGTTATCCTTCTGATCGCCGATGTACATCTTTTCTCCCCCATCAGTCTGGGTAAATGTCATGAAGAACTCTAACGTTGATAAGCAGAAATACAGTAAGAGGAGTCTGTACCATCGCTTTTTACCTTTGACTGGTGACTCACTGAAGAACTGAGGAATCATTGCAGAATATACCTGGAAGCTCACGAGGAACGTGAATCTCATTTTCAATCTATAATATTCGTGACATGGACTTTTGTGTTAAGGTTCATTATTAGTATGTGGTTTTCTTTTTTAGACTATTTGCCATGTTATGTTAACGTTGGTAGACCCGAGTTTTACTATGAAGCTTGTAAGTAATTTATTTTAGCTTCCCCTGCTCGACCTGGGTGGTGATTAGATTCTGCCAGGAAGATTTGATTCCCAGAGTTGATTTCCTCCAGTGGTTTAAGGTGATATATATTTGTACTGATGCGTAGCAGATTCAGCTTGTATTGGCAGCGTTATACTTGGGGTTTGCGAAATGTTACCGGAAATTAAATATGATTATTATTAAAGTTTAGTATTCATTAGCCGTTTAAATATTTTTAATACGTGTGATATTTCAGTAGTGCTGGTCATGGGAAGTTACTGCGGTTAAATCTCTTAAGAGACCTTTAATTCTGGGAAGAATATTACAAGTATATTTTGCGTTTAGTTAAATGTAGAAAACGGTGCTCATGATAGTTCAAGCTGTAAGTGTCCATTATGAAAATTGCAAGTTTTTGGAGTAACGACTTGGTTTAATTTACGCGAAATGTTACATGAGGATACAGATACGGTGTAAAGTGCGATACAGTGAATCTTGGTGTTCTAAAGTTAAAAATTTAAGTTGATGCTTTTGCTTAAGCAAGTGTAAATTCCCAACTCTAAAATATGAGGTGAAAGGTGCTACATACGTTTAAATTTCCTAAAATTTGATTGAGTTCGAGTTAGTTAAGTTTATCAATGGTCAGCTCTCATCAGTCTTGTGGTTTCCGTGAATTTCTCACACTGAATAACTTTGTTCAGTTCCTGGGGAGTTTATTATTATATACAATCAGCTTGCAAACAGACGTTATGTCATTATCTGCACGAGATTTGAATGTAAATAATGCTAGTCGTGCAGAAGCTTGTCAGTCTTTCCAAGACACGAGAGTAAGTCTTGGCTTCGTACACGGGAAGATGAAACAAATAAAAATAATCAGGCCGAAGCTAGAAGAATCGAAGCACAATGCGACATAACTAGAAACTTGTTTCTTGTAGCCTCACATTAGGGATGGGATTTGGCAGTTTCCCAGATTATCAGTTTCATTTATTTGTTGCTGTGTAAAATTAAAGCAACAAACAACCAAAATGGATATATATATGTCTTAAAAAAAAAAAAAGAACGTGTGCGTTTACAGAAACACGATGTTGTCCTGTGAATTTGTAAGTCTTGGTTATTAAGGGTGAATTGTGTTTGGGTTATGTTAGTAGTGTGTAAATCCCAGGAGCACTGCAGTAGGCTTCCATGCCTTTACCTTACCTTGGATGACTTTCGAGAGTCTTACTATTCTTGGAGTCCGGCCATGGGCCAGGCTCGTCAGTGTTAGTTATTTCAAAGTAAGAAAGACAAAAATACGTTTGATTAATTTAAGGCAGACATCCAAGACGTACGTATTTCATTTACTAAGTTTGTAATACTCCTTATTAACTTATTAGATCTGCAGACTGTTTTGTTGCATGTATATATTTTTTTCTAATATATACAGTAGCTTTTTGTAAAATGTTAATATATTTAACTTTCTACTTGTTTTAAAACATTAAACAAATCAAAGTATTAAACAAATCAAGACAAGTTATGTCGAAGCCTGAAAGCCACGACGTGAAATCCAGCCACAAGGTCTTGCTGGAAGAATAGGGCACGTTGAAGTGTTGGGTAGGTGAGGGCCGTGTGGGGAAGCTGACGCCTACCCTAGCAGCAAACTTGTTCTTGCTCGTTGTAGCATGTCACCAAGTGAATCATCGCCCGCTCTAACCTGCTCCAAGCTCGCCTCTTTCCTGTCCTTGACGAATCATAACTACAAGGGAGTTGCTTGTTCGTTCAGATCACTTGCTTATCTTACGAAACTTTGGTAAGCACTTTAATCTCATGAGATGGCTTAAGTCACCTATATTGTCGAGTCGCTTTCTCTTGATTATTGTTACCCGTTGATTTATCTTCATTGAGATCGTGATAGGAACGTCACTGTTGAGAACGATGAATTGAGAGATCCCAGCGATGATACAGGAGCAGAACATGAATACTTAAGTAAATTAGTTTTCATAACTAAATGTTCATTTAACGTGAAATAAATGGTAAATATATGCTAAATGTGAATCTGGAGGTCCGTCATGTTGCAACATTCGGGACATTTTTGCCAGGCAAACCGACACGGAACTTGGTAAAAATTTAGTGCTGGAATAACACACAAGTATCAGTGCTGGTACAAGAGGTAAGCAACTAAATAGTCCCTACAAGAGAGGTACATAGATAATGAATGGGTCTTGATACGAAAAATTAGAGCTACATTTCCTAGTACTCATTTACTGTATGATTCTTACGGGTTTAGCTCTTCGCTATGAAAATAATAATAAAGTATCTAAACAAGATAGTGACGTGCAAAGTGGTGGTTGTCTCCTGGACGTTCTCCACCCCTCGAGGTAGTGTTGTGTCTCCTGGACGTTCTCCACCCCTGGTGGTAGTGTTGTGTCTCCTGGACGTTCTCCACCCCTGGTGGTAGTGTTGTGTCTCCTGGACGTTCTCCACCCCTGGTGGTAGTGTTGTGTCTCCTGGACGTTCTCCACCCCTGGTGGTAGTGTTGTGTCTCCTGGACGTTTTGTGTCTCCACCCCTGGTGGTAGTGTTGTGTCTCCTGGACGTTCTCCACCCCTGGTGGTAGTGTTGTGTCTCCTGGACGTTCTCCACCCCTGGTGGTAGTGTTGTGCCCTCCTGGACGTTCTCCCCCCCTGGTGGTAGTGTTGTGTCTCCTGGACGTTCTCCACCCCTGGTGGTAGTGTTGTGTCTCCTGGACGTTCTCCACCCCTGGTGGTAGTGTTGTCTCCTGGACGTTCTCCACCCCTGGTGGTAGTGTTGTGTCTCCTGGACGTTCTCCATCCCTGGTGGTAGTGTTTCTTTTTTTCCTCTTAGAGTCTTAAAGTCAGTGCCGGATCAGCCGGGCTGTGGCTCGTACGTTGGACTGCGTGCGGCCAGCAGTAACAGCCTAGTTGATCAGGCCCTGATCCATCGGGAGGCCTGGTCATGGACCGGACCGCGGGGGCGTTGATCCCCGGAATAACCTCCAGGTAACCTCCAGGTAGACGTTCTCCACCCCTGGTGGTAGTGTTGTGCCTCCCTGAGGTTCTCCACCCCTGGTGGTAGCGTTGTACCTCCTTGAGGTTCTCCACCTCTGGTCCTTGTGGCTTAGCGCTTCTTTTTGATTATAATAATAATCCACCTCTGGTGGTTGTACCTCCCTGAGGTTCTCCACCCCTAGTGGTAGTGTTGTGCCTCCCTGAGGTTCTCCACCCCTGGTGGTAGTGTTGTGCCTCCCTGAGGTTCTCCGCCCCTGGTGGTAGTGTTGCGTCTCCCGTACGTTCTCCACTCCTGGTGGTGGTGTTGCGTCTCCCGGACGTTCTCCACCCCTGGTGGTAGTGTTGTGCCTCCCTGAGGTTCTCCACCCCTGGTGGTAGTGTTGTGCTTCCTGGAGGTTCTCCACCCCTGGTGTGCTGAAAATATCTAGCCTAGACAGGACTCGCAGCAATGGTTTTAAGTTGGAAAAATTCAGATTCAGGAAGGATATAGGAAAGTACTGGTTTGGTAATAGAGTTGTGGATGAGTGGAACAAACTCCCAAGTACCGTTATAGAGGCCAGAACGTTGTGTAGCTTTAAAAATAGGTTGGATAAATACATGAGTAGATGTGGGTGGGTGTGAGTTAGACCTGATAGCTTGTGCTAACAGGTCGGTTGCCGTGTTCCTCCCTTAAGTCAATGTGACCTGACCTGACTAGGTTGGGTGCATTGGCTTAAGCCGGTAGGAGACTTGGACCTGCCTCGCATGGGCCAGTAGGCCTTCTGCAGTGTTCCTTCGTTCTTATGTTCTTCTTATGTTCTTATGTTCTCCTGGACGTTTTGCACCCCTGGTGGGGTGGTTGTACCTCCTGGACGTTCTCCACCCCTGGTGGGGTGGTTGTA